TGTTAACATTCGCTTGCACTTGCAAACCAAGTTGATGCTACGTTGGGAATGGGGTGGGGGTGGGGTGGGGTCTGTTAACATTTGCTTGCACTTGCAAACCAAGTTGATGCTACGTTTGGGATGGGGTGCGGATGGGTTGGGGTCTGTTAACATTTGCTTGCACTTGCAAACCAAGTTGATGCTACGTTGGGGATGGGGTGGGGATGGGGTGGGGTCTGTTAACGTTCGCTTGCGCTTGCAAACCAAGTTGATGCTACGTTGGGGATGGGGTGGGGATGGGGTGGGGTCTGTTAACATTCGCTTGCACTTGCAAACCAAGTTGATGCTACGTTGGGGATGGGGTGGGGTTGGGGTGGGATGGGGATGGGGTGGCGGATTGAATGCACAGATCTAAGAATATATGTATAGACTGTATAGCTTTGTGTGGCGGTTTAATACACCGTCTAAGCACCAACTGCAGAAGTTGGGTCAGATGGCACAGAAGGAGTGGACCGCGTGAAAAGGAGTGGCGCGCCTCAGGGGGTGGATGTGTGTTAAGTTTTCATGAAAAACAGAGAAACGATAAAGGATCCGTTGTTTTTTACTTCCGGGTCCCCGAACGCACTGTCATTTCACTTTCAAAGGCGTTTTGTGGTGTAAAAACACATTCAAAATGACATTGACCTAAAAAAGGCCCCGCCATAAAGTGCCATAGGGGTTATGAAAAACGACCCGAAGATGCTTCTGAGAACGCGCAAATCGCGCGGGGCTGTTGCAGCGGGCGTGACCTTGCTTTTATGTATATGTCTTCACGTATGTAGGTGAGAAAGTATGTATGTATGTAAGTATGTATGTATGTACACATGTATTAATGTAATGTAATGTTATGTTTTGTGATGTTTTGTAATGCAATGTATGTAATGTAATGGGAATGTATATAAGTAAGTATGTATGTATGTATGTAAGTATGTGTGTAATTAATGCATGTATGTATGTATGCCCATATTGTATGTAATGTATGTAATGTTTGTACTGTATGTACTGTGTTTGTATGTATGAACGCACGTATGTATGTATGTATGTGTGGATGTGTATGTGTATGTGTATGTGTATGTGTATGTATGTACGTACGTACGTACGTATGTATATATGCATGTATGTATGTATGTATTGTGTATTGTAATGTATGTGTGCAATTTAATGTACTGTACTGCAATGTAGTGTAATGTAATGTAAGTAAGTAAGTATGTATGTATGTATGTATGTATGTTTTAATCCAATGTAGTTCAATGTAATGTAATGTAATGTTTCTCTGTCTGTCTGTCTGTCTGTATACACGGCCCCCTTTGACTGCGTCTTTTCTATTTTTTTCGTCTAGGCTACAGCCGCAGCTTTTCCAGAGGCCTGCTGAGTCCTGAGTTTATCATGCCTAGGCGGTCTAACACAGTTGCAGCGCTACAAGCAATGTGATAATATTGTGGCTCAAAGGTTTTCTCAAGGCTTCAAGGACTTGCAAAGGCAGAGAGAGAGAGACAGACATAGCTACGGATGTGCGCAGCAAACTCAATCAAGGCACACCACCGGAAGGGACGCACGGAAAAAGTGACCATATCTCTGGGAGCAGTCTCTTCACCTATTTTCACACATCTTCAATTTATCGTAGTTTGACCAATGGACAACGATGCGAATGCGGACAGCTCTGCGCGTGCTGCCCCTCATGGCCTTGTACGCTTTGAACCCAGGTCCACTGATACAGGTTCCGCTTCGTTTTTGGCTGTTTCGGCTGTTTCATTGTTTGTGGCTGGGGTGCCGCAGCTCACATTGTTTTGGGAAGGGAGGCACGGGGCCTTTGCTGCTCAGGGGCCCATGTGCTTCAGAGGCTTTGCGCGGCCGAGGCTGTGCTGAGTCGAGCTGCCGCACCTGAGTTTGTGTTTGAAATTATATAATCAAGCACCCCCTGAATTTCCTGAACAAACTTTTGCAGGTATTTATTGATGAATGAGCATATGTGTGGATTGTTTTTGACCTTTGCTTCTGGTGCACCTGCCGACAGGACCCCCCCGCTGCACTTTGCCACTTGGGATGGAAGAACATATTGAGCTGATCAAGGAGCAGCCAAGCACCGAATATGTTCCTTGCCTCCGCGTGGTCCAGAAAGCACAGTTGAACACGAACAATGCTGCAAGATCATCCTTGCTCTAAGCACCCTGCACTCCGACTCGCCGTTCAGGAGCTGAGGAAGGATAGAAGTGCACCGGTTGACTCGATGGGAGTTCGTGCTATTCACAACACGTCCAAGGTCCAATGGCAGAGTGAGAATAGAACTGGCCAGGGCAATGCGTTTTAACCTGTGATGCTGCAATGGTTGGTTCAGGACTCGTACGAGACGCTCGTGGCCTTGATTCTTTCAACGCGGACAAAGGACTGATTTGCTGTTAGGTGCTGTGTTCCACGCGCTGTTTTTCTCCAAGTTGTGTTCTTGACCAAATGGGAGAATCTAGGATTCCGCAACTTATGAGACAATCCAAGTGCTGCGACATCATGGGCTAACACCCCTCAACATTCTCAAAACTCCGGCTTTGACTCTGACAAGTCTGCTGGCCAAGGCAGGTTTGCTCACTCATGCAGTCAGGTAAGGCAGGCATTTGAACACTTGTTTTACCAAAGGTGAACCACCGGAATCGAAAAGCTTCCTACTTGCGGGAGATGTCGGAGATGTTGATGAACAACTTTGGTGGCAGAGTTCCAGACCAGGAATGGCAGCTGAGGAAACTCAAAGGCTCTGGAAGGTTCTGCTTTTGTCCGGCAGACAAACTGAAGAAGGTTTACTGTACGTGAATGCTGTCAACATCATTTCAATGTTTGATTTTCAACATCATTTCAAGGTTTGATTTTCTGTTTAAATTCAAGGCTTTTCATCTCGCCAACTTGTAGGTGAGCTTTGAGTGGCATAAATGAGATGCACATGTGGTGCAATATTTGTGATGTTCTTGGAATTGGAGGGGTATATTAAAGTCTAGTGACCCCCGGCTGGAAGGTGTGGGCGAAAAGAGTGCCTTGCTGTACTTGCAGACTGTTACGGGCAAGGTGGGCAGTCTAGGGTGAGAACTGTGATGTACGGTAGCCACAGCTAGTCACTCTAGTGTTTGCTTGCCTACTTGCGTGTTTCATCGGTTTGAATCTTTCCACAGGTGACAGGAATTGCTGTGGATGCTCACTTGCACTCGATTGCAAACTGGCTCAGCTGGGTGGAAACCAAGCGTCCTCACCAAACCCGGAAGAAGCTGGAGCAGCGTTTGCCACGAACGTTGTGGGGTCCAATCAACCCGCTGGTGGTTGGAAGCTTGAATGCACAGAGAGAGCCTTCAAAGAATCGAGTGTTGTCGATCCTGCGAACACGTATGTCTTAGGCTTTGGCCAGGAGCTTGCCCGAGAAAAGCAGAAGATCCTGCACAAATGCCTTCGCTCAAGCAACCCAAGTTTGGCGTTGCAAATGCTTTGTGCGTGCGGAATGGATGTCAGAAAACAGAAACCCAGCTTGCACAATCTTGCACAAACACGTTTGGCTGAGGCATGCTAAGCACACAAGCTTGGATGAACCAAATTAAGGTTGAGGCAGCAACATACGAGCTGTTTTCCGGAAGCTTTTTCTTGTTTGAGGTGGGGGTGGCAAAGACACACACACACATGTGTATATATGTACTACGACTCATGAATAAAGCCGAATCAGCATGTTGTTTCCGCAGATTGCTGGGAGTCGGATGGGTGAGGTGCACGACTGGCGCATTTGCAAGTGCCGTCTGTGCCTCACGTGCCAGCGCCTCCTCCTCTTGGTCTACAACGAGGAGTTGGGCGCGACTTTTGCCAAAGAGGCGGTGGTAAAGCTGCAGGCCACATACCCGGAACTCTTGGCCACCTTCAGCTCTCCCGCATTTCGGGGGGAGGGTGCACTTCCCATGCCAAGCAGTCGGAGGGAGAGGTTGTGCAGGAGGAGCTAAGGTGTGAGAAAGAGGCCTCACGTGAGACTGCCACAGAAGGTACAGGGGTAAAAGCTGAGAGTGGACACAAGGAGCCTACATCATCGCCATCTACATTGCGCCGGGAAGTAGCAGATAATAGTGGAGTTGCCAGTTCTCCCGTTGGTCCATGGAGAGAGGCTACAAAGTGATGGTTGGGATTGGTGGCACGGGGCAGCTGCGAAGTGTGGGCCGTCGAGGACCTCGATACCACGTCAACCAGGCGCCCTTGCTGAACGGGCTATTCGCGGTTGGTAAGGGGGAGTATGTTGGCCCTCTAGCAACTCAGAGGTTGATCATGAACTTGATCCCCTCCAACCGGCTGTGTGAGCCGTTGGTTGGGAGAAGTTAGTACCCTCCCGAGCATTGCATCATTTCAAAGGTTTTTGTTGGAAAAAGGAGAGATTGCTCTCTTGAGCTCGGAGGTGCTTCTTTTGCCTGTTCAGGATTCCGGTTCGATGGCAGAAGTTTCTGGGGTTCAATAAGGAGGTTGAGGAACCGTTGATCCCCCATCACTTGAAGGGCAAGCGATGCGTTTTGGTGTCACGTGTTCTCCCGATGGGCTCGTGAACAGCGTGTCAATCGCACAAGATATTCACCGGAATGTAGTCAAGTGGAGCCAACAAACTGCGCGAGGTTTGGGAGGTGAGGCGGAGATGAGGCGTGACAGGGTAGGTTCTTCTTCCTCTGCGCTGCATCGAGTCTACCTGGGCAACTTTGATCTTCTTGAGCGGCGCGATAAAGTACAGGCAGAGGCAATTAAAGGCATGGTTTCAGAAGTCGTGGTCGCCCTGACGGAGGAATATGAACGAAGAGGTTTGCCCAGGCATCCGAAGAAACCAACCGCCCGTGCATGTGTCTTGGCTTTGAGTCTTGCCGAACGGGGTGTGTGTACATTGAAGGAATTGCAGGTGGTGTGCGGAGGATTTGTGTACTTCTGCATGTTCCGGCGTCCACCCCTTTTTGTGCCCTGAATGAAGTCTTTGGCGCTTCATGGAGAAGTTAAAGAAATTCCCGCCGGTGATTCGCGCGAAGATGCCTCGACAGGTGGTTAAGGAGTTGCTTCGGTTCATCTTGCTTTGCCCCCTTGCCCACATAAGCTTTAAAACGGAGTTGGCCGAGCATGTGACCTGCAGTGATGCCTTGACAGGAGGAGGAGGAGGCTTCTGTGTGAGCGAGGGGCTGACAGGTTATGGCGTTGCAGCGTTGTCTTCAGAAGTGCGTGGTGATATTCCCGAAGAGGAGTGCGTTTCCCAGATCCTGACAGTTGGTCTCTTTGACGGACTTGGAGCGTTAAGACTGGCCGTGGACTCATTAGGCGTCCCAGCCGCCGGACACTTGAGCGTGGAGAAGGAAGAGGCTGGCTGCGAGGAGAGTGGTTGTCAGACTGAGGGGATAGTCCGATCGTCTTTCTCGACCATGTTTTGCCCTTTAAACTTCTGACACAACCCTGCGGGAAAAAGACACAGCGAGTTGAGTCTTAATATAATATATAAATGTGTGTATATCTTTACATACATACAGACATACAGACACACACACATACACACATACATCACATACATCACATCACATACACAGCATATCATAGCATATCACATGAATACGTACATGCATGCATGCATACATACTTACTAACTGAACTGAACTGAACTTTACTTACTTTTACTTAACCTTTTACGTAACCTTTTACTTAACCTTTTACTTTACTTTACTTTACTTTACTTTACTGACTTACTGACTTACTGACTTACTCACTTGCTCACTTGCTCACTTGCTCACTTGCTTACTTGCTTACTTGCTTGCTTGCTTGCTTGCTTCCTTGCTTGCTTGCTTGCTTGCTTGCTTGCTTGCTTGCTTACTTACTTACTTGCTTGCCTTCTTCCTTGCTTGCTTACTTACTTCCTTACTTCCTTACTTTTTTGCTTACTTACTTCCTTACTTGCTTGCTTACTTACTTCCTTTCTTGCTTGCTTACTGACTTACTTACATACTTACTTACCTACTTACTTACTTACTTACTTACTTACTTAGTATACTTACTATACTTACTTTACTTACTATACTTACTTTACTTACTTTACTTTCTTTACTTACCTTACTTACCTTACCCTACCTTACTTTACTTTACTTTATTTTACTTTACCTTACTTACATACATACTTACATTCTTACATACTTACACACATACATGCTTACATACTTACATACATACAGGCACACATACATACATACATCACATCACATCACATCACATCGCATCACATCGCATCACATCGCAGCGCAGCACAGCACAGCACAGCGCACCGCGCCACATCACACCACATCACATCGAGCTGTTCAAACTGGCCCCCCATCAAGTCCAGTTGGTGCGCAAGCCCTTGATCCACGTCTTCTCCTCCCCCGCTTCTGATCTACGGCGCCTGGCATTTGTGCTCCACCTGAACACCGCCGGCATCCCAGGTCCTTGCACTTTGCTTCTACCTCCTTCGGGATATCTCCTACTACCAGTTGACTTTACCCATCTCCTTTGAGATACTGTTGCACACTGGCCAGATCGCAGACCTTGTGCCGTGATCCACACCTACTTCCTGAACTATGACGAGACAGTGAGGCCGGGCATACATGGTGTGCACAAACCAGCACTGCAGTAATTGGATTTGGACAGATAAGGTCCAAATGGGGTTCCACTGCCGCAAATGTGGCGCCCTGGCCAAAGCCGCCGGCAAGGGCAAAGACAATGCCCGCACGATGCCGCATTTGCCGAAAAATCTGACCCAAAAACGCATTGCTGGAACCACCACCAGGCCTGCAACCCTGGCGGACCTTGAAGAAGTCCAAATTTCAGAAAGAAGCATCAGAACTTCTTGGAGCGACATGGTCATCGATCCCAGCTGAGACACAGACCAAGCTTCAGGAACTCGGCATTGGGCCAGCGAAAGAACCGTCTCCGGTGTTGCAAGATGTGTTGATGACGCATTGGGAAGATTTGCCCACTCAAGTCAAAGAGCTTGTCACAAAAAGCTTACAACACCTGAAATAGCGACAGAACCGCGTATGGCAGGGAAGCTCAAGCAGAAGGTGACTGAGCTGAATCTGAAGAGTTTATCACGCAGGAGCTTCAAACCAAGATTCAAGAGGGCAACGCGAAGAGTACCTCCAGGCAGCGTCCAAAGATCCCACCACGCCTCTAGCTGACGAGCCTACAGCCAACTTAGTGTTTCGCTGACACCTGAACAGAATCATCAGCTCCATGGCCTTCTCAAGAGACCCAATGAAAACGCTGACAGGAAACAGGCACTGCACTTGAGGCACGCACCACCGGACATTGTGGGTAACATGCAGCTCTTCAAAGATGGACACCAAATCGGGATTGCTGTTCCTGTGCCGGAAGATGACCTTGAATCATGCGAAGGCATTGAACAGAGTCTCTTGCCTTTGAATGCTCACCCAGACGCACGCCGTGATTACTCTGGCTCAGAGCAAGGGGATGGTTTTCAAGCTGCGGGGGACATGCAACTTGAAGTACGTGCTTTACATCAAGCGCCCAGGTTAGCACCATGGGTTGCAGGGGACATGCAACCTCAACTCCACCACTCTCATTAAAAAAGGTTCCGGATACCGTGTTGACATCCAGTTCTGAATCCATTTCGCACCTCCCGGCTGAGCGGAGTGGCTTTCCCCACCTGCTTACAGAGCTCAAAGAGAGAGCGACGACAGGCGCATCCAGGAGACGAGTCCCACACTATGGCTCATCTCCCTCTCTACGACTACGCGTCCACCACTGATCTGCTCTGATGATTCAAAAACTCGGACCTTCTGAAGCTGCCAGGTTTGCAGTGTAGGACATCTGACGCAGTACATTTTGTCAACACTACTTTGGCTGGTCACTCAATTGCAAGCCTTCACTTACAGGTATGCTGAGATCAAATCTGGTGGCTTTTTGCAGGACCATCCAGATGTCCATGCACTTGGATTCCCCAGACCAGTTCAAGGATGAAGTCACCCGCCAAGAGCTTTGTAATGCCTGGCGCAACGAAGGCCCGGGCCAGTAATTCATGGATGAGAAGAGAGGGCTCTCTTGTGCCACATCAAGAGAGACACCGAGATTGACGGGACTCTCACCAAGCATCAGCGTGCGCTAAATCCCATGGTGCTCTTTGCATGTTTTCAGCAGGAGGAAGGAAGAGTATGCGCCCATTGCCTACGTTTGCCGCCAACCACCTCCCAGGCCACCACTACACCGTCCTTGTGTATCGGGGCCTCATGTGGCTTGCAGATGGTGGACAGGCGCCCACTGTCCTCCACTACCTGACCCAACAGATGGCTGGTGAAATCATCCAAGTGTGGGCCATACAAACCAGTGTCTTCCGTGCACCGACAAAGATCATGAGGGACCTTCCAGCACCTGAGTCCCCCGACTTCGAGCCGGCGCTGCGCGACGTAGGCCCGCTACACCCAAGACAAGATGCGTGTTGATTTCGCCAATGTCACCAGCGTGGGCAACCAAGTGGTTGAATGGTATTGGACACGGGACAGTGAGATCTACATCTGCATTGAGATTCACACTTGGACCAGGAACAGCATGCCAACATGTGCCAGTACTTCAGCATCCGTGGGCCTCACAAAAACGAAGGCAATGAAGGCGCCCATGGTGGCATTCTCATCCTCGGTGATGCCACGGCTGGCCTTTCCTACGTTGACTCCTTCCACCTTGAAGGGTGTGGCTATGTTGCCTGTCTTTGGCAGATGAAGGAGATCTCCCTTTTGTGGTTGCGGCCTACTTCAAGACCAACGAATCATTTCAGGGCCACACCAATAGTCAGCTCCTGGCCAAACTGTTGAGCCTGCTGCAGGAATGCAGCTTCCAATACATTTTGGTGGGTGACTGGGACAATCTACCCTCCTCCTTTCCGGTAGGCATGTGGCCGGGAACACCAAGCAGTACAAGAAACGTCTCATCAAGAAATGCCAACAACCACCTCGTGAAGGACTGGGCTCCTCACCGCAGCGGTTACCAATGTGACTTTGTCCAGCCAGAATAATGAGGGACTGGCCACGCAGCTTCTGGAGACCCATCTTGCTGAAGCCTGCCTCAACTTTGGCGTCGACGTGGCCCTCAGCAGCCCAGGAAGAGCTGACTGGCCAAGAGCCCACACAGACCACGACAAATCCAGCTGCTACTCCAACAGCAAGAGGATGGCTCAGCGCCAGTTCCTGGAAACTGCAGGATACCTCAAGTGCCAGCGTTGTGGAGTGGCCATCCTCAAGAACGAACAGAGCTTCAACCAGTCTCCCGGACATCCAACACACCTGCTCTGGCACCTGCAAGCATTGTGGGCTCTCACCGCCTCTTTGTCACACAAACTTCAACAAGGAGTGCAAAGGAGCCCCAGTCAAGCCCAGCGCCGGCCTTCGCATTTATTTCTCAATCACCCCACCTACCAGCGCACCGCCAGAGATAGGTGAGGTGAGGAAAATGACTCCGCCAGGTGACAGTGGGGCTACACAGATGTCAGCGCCGTGCAGTGAGGAGCTCGAGGTTGACTACTTTTAAGCTGGAGGTGGCAACCTCCACCCGGCCAATATGGCCTTGAGAAGCAGACAAGAAAAGGAGCCTTAAAAACACATACATACATACATACATACATACATACTACATACACGCATACATACATACATACATACATACATACATGCATTCTTTTGTTTTTGGCGGCGGCCCATTTGATTGCAATTGTCCGGTCAGATGTGTGTTCTTTGCTGGTCTGATGTTATAAAGGCAGCTTAATGCTGCAGCCAAGGCTGGCAAAAGGCGGGATGGAAGTTGAGGATGAGATTCTGAGACATTTGAAGTGGACCGCAGAGGGAGGTGACCTAAAACTTGGTCACCAGACATTCCCCTCCATCATTTGGAAGACTTCCGCAGGAAAAGACCTTAGTTGGGGCATCGTGCTCCCCAATCTGCATGAGTCAGGGTTGATGAAAGGTCACACCATCGTGAAACCAACTAGCTGTTGCCAGCTGGAGTTGTCTTTGCCTTAGAAATAGGCTGCCCATGACGAAACCATACCACATCACCAGCGTTGACCAGCATAGCAACCGCTTGAACAAGGCTTGCCACTTCACTGGCAGTGGGCGCATTCACAATCGGCTGTAGCGCCACCGCTCGTGACTACCCTCAACACGCTGCGCCTGCGATACTCGGGTTGCTGGTCATCACCTCTTTATAGAGATACTTTCGCCCACCCCGCTAGCCTTAAGCCTCAAGTGATGCCAGGTTACTTGGTCGACGTCCAGAGACTGTTACCATTGCTGTTGCCCAAGTAGATGATGCTCACGCGCAGGCAATGACAATGGACGCTCAGTGTCGCCGTTGCAGGAGACCAAGATCTGCCACGATGGTGGTCGCTTGTATTCTTTGATGATCAAGCGTGCAGTGTTCGTCTTATGATTTGACCGATTTCACAGGTCTGTGGGCTCTTCAGTGATGGAGGACTTTCAGTATATAGGGGTGAATCGGTGCCATAACGTTCCAAGTCCTTGTTTATGCTTTGTGAGCGAGTTTCAAGCCACGATGAAACTTGATCAAGATTGGAACTCTTGAATAACGCGGATGTGAAAGCAGACACACACACACACGCACACACTTAGGAAACGCGTGCTGAACAGAATGCCGCTCGCCGCACGGCGACCTAGGTACCCAAATTCCCGAGAAGGCGTACAAGGGGGTCTGACCAGCTCTAGTCGTTAGGAGGTCCCCGGTGACTCCAAGGGTTTCACACACACACACACTTAGGAAATGCGTGCTGAACTGAATGCCGCTCGCCACACGGCAACCTAGGTACCCAAATTCCCAGTGAGCAGGAGGTGTGCGTTTTGCATTTTGCAGCCACTTGCAAGTGGCTGCCAAGTGGCTGCAAGTGACTGCTACTTCTGTCCGGAGAATATCACGCTTTCTCCGCGCGCAGCTCTGGAGAAAAGCCAAGGTTTCTGCAATTGCTGTTCTGCGAAGAAATTCCGGCTTTATCCAGAGCTGCGCACGGAGAAATCATGAAATAATCCAAGACTTTTCCGAGAACAAATTCCAAACTTCTGCAGAGTTAGCGACGAAGAGATCTTACAGTTTTTTCCCGAAAGCATTGCGAAAGGTTCTTCCGGAGAATCCCTTGAACACTGACATTTCTACACTTACACTTGAACACAGTATGGAAAAACTTGCACGGGAGATGTCCTAATGAAAAAACATATCCCCACTTTATAAATTGCCTTAAAGGCGGAGGGTGGGACGAAAAGCGTCAACCGAAAATGCGACACTCTGCGGAGATCGTGCGTGTCAAGTGCGCGACATGCAGGCGAGAGTGCGATGTGTCGTATGTGCGCGCAATCCTCTGCGGAGATCGTGCGTGTTGAGTGCGCGAAATGCAGGCGAGAGTGCGATCGGGTCTGTGCGCGCGCAACCCTCTGCGGAGATCGTGCGTGACCGTGTCGAGTGCGCGAAACGCAGGCGAGAGTGCGATTGGGTCTGCGCACGCGCAACCCTCTGCGGAGATCGTGCGTGTCGAGTGCGCGAAACGCAGGCGAGAGTGCGATTGGGTCTGTGCACGCGCAACCCTCTGCGGAGATCGTGCGTGTCGAGTGTGCGAAATGCAGACGCGAGTGCGATTGGGTCTGTCCGCGCAACCCTCTGCGGAGATCGTGCGTGTGGAGTGCGCGAAATGCAGGCGAGAGTGCGACTGGGTCTTTGCGCGTGCAACCCTCTGCGGAGATCGTGCGTGTCGAGTACGCGAAATGCAGGCGAGAGTGCGATTGGTTCTGTACGCGCGCAACCCTCTGCGGAGATCGTGCGTGTCGAGTACGCGCAATGCAGGCGAGAGTGCGATTGGGTCTGTACGCGCGATACCTGCTGCGGAGATCGTGCGTGTCGAGTGCGCGAAATGCAGGCGAGAGTGCGATTTGTTCGGTCCGCGCGCAACCCTCTGCAGAGATCGTGCGTGTCGAGTGCGCGAAAAGCAGGCGAGAGTGCGATTGGGTCTGTGCGCGCGCAACCCTCTGCGGAGATCGTGCGTGTCAAGTGCGCGAAATGCAGGCGAGAGTGCGATTATTGCGTCTGTGCGCGCGCAACCCTCTGCGGAGATCGTGCGTGTGGAGTGCGCGAAACGCAGGCGAGAGTGCGACTGGGTCTATGCGCGCGCAACCCTCTGCGGAGATCCCCCACCAGCGGCCAAGCGGTGACAGCCCAGCTCATCGTCACGAGCATTTGAGCTGCTGGTAAGGGGAGAAGCAGCGTGCACGCCTCCAGCTGAACAACAAATCCGCTGAACAACGTCAATGTTACCGTGCCCTTGTGTTTGAGCCCGCCGTGCGCTCGCTGGTGACACGTGGCATCACATAAAACACATCTCTATATCTCAGGATCACAACAGCAAGCACAGTCATCTCTTTTCGTTTCGGTCTTCCCGACCTCTGTAGCGCAGTCTCCGCATATAGCCAACCTGCATGATCAAAAGTCACGCGCTGGGATAGTTTTCAAAAGACTTGTGTGTGTTCATTCCGCTTGAAGTCTCATGCTGAGATCCGGTTCAAAAGAGTCATGTGTTTATTCTGATTCAAGAGTAAATAGATTAGATACGCAATTGCCAATCTCTGACAGAAGCTTCATTTTGTTTATACCTTCCAAAAGAGAGCTCTATTTTTGACGCAAGCTCCTGGGTCTGTCTGCGAAGAGTAGTAAGTCCGCGGGTCGAATCCGCAGACCAACGTTCTCGACTGCGGCCCAACTGCCTGGTGCTAAATCAAAGTCAAAGGTCCCATGTGGCAAAAAGTGCCTCGAGATCCTGTGACACAGCCTTAGTTCCCTCGGCGCTCGGTGAAGCGCGCGCATCCTTGCCACTGGACTTACAGGCTACGTTCACATGTGGAGCATAGAATTGTAAACATTCAATACATTGATCGTGTGCAGCATAGAGGAACAAGTATTCCAGCTGCCTCTCTGCCGCCAACCCTGCATGACGCTTCCATCGCCGACAATGCGGCGCTGCTGGGCGAGGAAAGAAGTACAGCAGACTCACTTGAGACCCACACACGGACTCGACACACGAGACTGAACATGTGACACTGAACAACATAGACACACGCAGAGACCGATACACGGACTCGAGACACTAGACTGAACACGTCACACTGAACACAAAACGCACAGACCTATGAATGCATTGTTCAGTGTCTTGCTTTGTGACATCCAATGTGTGAGCTTCAGAACTACTTGGGTACCCTGGAATTGTGCGCGGCGGTTCAAGCAGACCTTTGGTAGTCAAAGTGAGATTGCACAACTCTCCACAGAACTAGGGCCAGCGAGCACCAGATCGTAGCCGGGAACATACAGGAAGTCAACAGCGGTGAAGAATGTACTTGCAAGAAGTTTCAACACACCCCATAAGCTTCTCGTCAATAGGCGCACTGACCATGGCTGCTCTGGAGGACGCCGTTCTGCAAAACTCGGAGGACGGGCTGGAGATGGTATGGACGGTTTTGTAGTTTGTAGGTGTGTTCGGGGAAGAAATAGATATCTAGACATAAGATGTCCAACTTTTGTTATAGGGGCACCCAACCTGTGTTAGGGGATGGGCGTAGTGTATAGTTCAACTTTGTTGCTAATCTGTTTTTATCCCCGAAAGCATTGTGAAGGGTTCTTCCGGAAAATCCCTTGAACACTGACATTTCTACCCTTACACTTGAACACTGACGCTTCCACACTGACACTTGAACACATACACGTCTATACGTATCCCAGTGTAAGGGTAAAAAGCATCCAAGGGTAAGTATGCAAGCGTAAGTATCCAAGTGCAAAAGTATGCAAGTATCCCAGTGCAATCCCAGTGCAAGTATGCAAGTATGAGTATGGAAAACTTGCACGGGAGATGTCCTAATGAAAAACATTTCCCCACAGCGTCAACCGAAAATGCAACCCTCTGCGGAGATCGCGCGCGTCGAGTGCGCGAAATGCAGGCGAGAGTGCGAATTGTCGTATGTGCGCGCAACCCTCTGCGGAGATCGTGCGTGTCGAGGGCGCGAAATGCAGGCGAGAGTGCGATTTGTCCCATGTGCGCGCAACCCTCTGCGGAGATCGTGCGTGTCGAGTGCGAGAGTGCGATTGGGTCTGTGCACGCGCAACCCTCTGCGGAGATCGTGCGTGTCGAGTGCGCGAAATGCAGGCGAGAGTGCGATTGGGTCTGTGCGCGCGCAACCCTCTGCGGAGATCGTGCGCGTCGAGTGCGCGAAATGCAGGCGAGAGTGCGATTTGTTCGGTCCGCGCGCAACCCTCTGCGGAGATCGTGCGTGTCGAGTGCGCGAAATGCAGGCACTGGCGACTTTCTAGTACTTTAGTACGCGGAGTATCTGGGGAGCTGGAAGATGAGAACTGGCGACTTTGTAGTACAACTGTAGTACGCGGAGCAATCTGTGGAGCTGGAAGCTGAGAACTGGCGACTTTGTAGTAC